GGCGCCATCATGACCTATTATGGAAAATGGGTCGTGACAGTGATATTGAAGTATAAAACATCAATGGCTAACGTCAAGATTAGCACATAGGTACAAAAAGAAAAATGCAGAGCAACTTGCCTATGGTTCATGGTTTTAGAGGATATGTTACAGAATGTTTGAGTAAAGCTTTCCATATATTGAACTAATTTGAAAGACTTTAGTAAGACTTTAATAATTACTAATCAACTAATAATAATTGCAACCTTCGTCCGAATTTATCTGACACATTTTTCGTTTTAGTCGCATTTTTATTCCCCAGTTATTGCTGAATTCTGATTTTAGTTGTTATGGTATTTGCGTAAGTATATTTAACATTTGTTAATTCTAATGTATGGTTTTGTTCCTTTATAATTATGTATGTATATATATATGTATGTATGTATGTGTGTAAGAGAACTAATCATCCTCAAAATATGAAGTAACAATACAAATTAATATAACACGTGGGTAATTAAAAAAATTAACCTTTAATAATTCATTAATTTTTTCTTAAAATGCTCAAGCATAAGGATCAAAAGTGCAAATTACAGTTAATTGAAGGTCATATGTGCTAACCCATATATGCAAGGATCACAATCAAAATTACCAATAACTGAGGGAAAAAAAAATGCAATTATCCCTTAAAAGTGAAAACTAATAAAAATAGAACTTATTTTAATTTGGGGGACCAAAATTACCGTAGTATTCTTTAAGATTAACTAGTATTAGTACCCGCGCGATGCGCGGACATAAATCATGTTAAAGTGTGATGTAGGTTATTTGAATCATGTGCAAATAACCTTAAAATATAAACATCTCATATAAAAATTATATAACATTAGATATTAATTATGAAGTAGGATATGAAATTATTGTTCAAATCTCGTAGTGCATAACCTATTTTTTTTTATATTTGTAGCAATCTAACCCCTTGATTTCAGTCTTGCATTTCATTTCGTTATCAATATTAAAGAATACTAAACATATCATGTTGTGATCTGTCTTGGTTGAGCACAATAGATCATATTATTTTAACAAACTTCTTACTATCACTTTGTTTTTATCTAAAAGTTAAATATGCCTTATTCATCACATTATTTGTACGCAAATTCTTTTTTCTTTTGTTTTTTCTTATAGTTATTGCATTATTTATTATTTAATATTGTACTATCATATAATATTTTATTAGCTTAATAATTAAATTAATGTCTTGCTTAGTATTCTTTTAATAGTCTTTAATAAATAGAAATGTTTTATTCTTGAAATTTGGTATATTTTTATGCTTGTATCCTCTCATTCGGAATTTTTTAATCAATTAAATTTATTGTAATATTATTAAATATAATTTAATTTTATAATTTATTTATTTTTAAATTAATTTACTGTATAAGTGTCACGACCCGGATGTCCCACCCTCGGGAATCATGATGGCGCCTACTAATAGGAGCTAGGCAAGCCAACTTAATTTACTTCTTTTAGCAATTATCGTCCATTTAATGGAAACAAAGCATAATATGATAAAGCGGAAGTCTCAAATATAATTAACTGAAGGAAATGCGGAAGTTTAACAAAATCCTCTACCCAAGACTGGTGTCACAATACTCACGAACGTCTAGAGAATACTAAATACAAGGTTTGAATGAAACATAACACTGTCTGCTTCGGTACAAATGATAACAAACTGAATAAGATAGAAAGGGACTCCGGGCCTGCGGACGTAAGCAAGGCTACCTCGAATGTCCCTGGACTGAATGCTCGCTCCCAGAATGCTACTGCTACTCAAATGCTGCTCCAACACCTGGATCTGTGCAAAAAGATGCACAGAGTGTAGCATCAGCA